ATCAGAGGACTTCACAACAGCTGTGAATCTACTGAGGAGAATCAGGCCCATTAGATCTTTAGAGATATCCATTGCTATTGCATCTATATATTAAATTACAGAACTCTTATTATCTCTCTTTTTAGAAACAAGTTTTGTGCAAGCATTCAAGTTTAAAGTCAGTGCTTATATGGAACTTAGCAAAAACATGATGGGAATGGGATGCCAGGGGAATAGATGATTCTCTCATCTGAAACACATAATTAGCTTTTGGTTAAGTGTGCAATTAACATTAACATTTACAATCAAGTATGATGGTGTTCTAATTTTACCTCCTTTAAATGAAAGAATTAACTTAGTTATCCGTGTTACTTCTTTGAATCCCTTCCCTATGAGGCGAACTGCACAGAAACATCCTGTCATCCAGGCAACAACTGATATAAAAAGCTTTTAAAAACACTGCATATTTGTCTTCTGGATGGCTATGCAGCTTATTTTGGTTTACACTTTTTTTTATTTTGTAATGGTAACTGCCACTCAGCATAATTAGGAGTTGTTATATTTCAGTTTGTAAAGATCCTTCCCATAAAAGCAGAGTGATGTTGCTTTGCACCCTCTTCCCAGCTGTGCCTTTAAGCTGTAACATGTTTCAGACATCCACTACAGCTAATCTCAGACCCCTACAGGTTTCAGCAGTTAAGCCATGGAAACATTTTTGTTCATGGGAAAGAAAAAGCTATACTCATCCTAGCAGTTTAAATCTGATAAGCAGCACCTTAAAAGAAAAATCATGCTGCAGTCTAAATATGCTGTCTCCATCTGAACATCACATCCTTTTTGCCTTTTAACCTGAAGTTAAATTTAACCTCTAGTTGCCTTTAAAAAAGGGGGTTAAAAGTAGTTTCAACTGTAACATCAGCTGCCAAACCATGTATTTAATTATGTTTATTATTAATCATATATATGTTTATAGTATGTGCCACAAAAATGAGGCTCCACTGTGTCGGGTGCTGTACAAAAGTGTAATGAAAGTGTAATGAATTTCCTCACACAAAGCACATATTGTGTGGTGTGAAAAGCGTTGTGGTGTGCAAGTGTTTTGGGCTAAACACTGCCAATGATTTTCCATCAGTAAATTTGTGTTACAATCCAAAGACCTCATGGAATTAACCCAGACTAGGCCGGTCTGAAGAACCAGAGTTTGCCTCTCAGCAGTTAACCTCAATGCTGTGTTGGTCAGGAGTTTGACGTTATTACCATGTACCACCATTATTACTTATCACCAAGAGACACACAAACACACAGAAAAAGGAAAAAAAAGAAATCTCACATTCCTCTCACCTAAAACCAAAATCACTTTTTTTCATTCACCCTGCTTCCATCTGGATCTGCACAAAGCGGCCTTCTCTAGCTGCTAGGCAACGTGAACGCTGGATTGAGTATTAACTGTACGCATTTGCTAAGAATATAACAACATTACCTTTGAGATTTATTTATAATAAAAAACATAGCTAGCTGAAAATATAACAACTTTCCTTCAGTAATCAGTAATTAGCAACTCTGGGAATACAAAACAAAGTAGTATTAGAGATGGCAGTGGCTAAAAAAAAATCTAATCCAAGAATTACATTTATGTAGATATCAGAATATCTACATAATATATTAATAGATTTACACATAAGTAATATTTTAAATTAGAAATGTTTAAGTTACCAAACCTCATCCAACTACAAAACGAACTTTCTCAGTAAAGGTCATTTATTCGATTTACAGAAAACGACCATTCCTAAACAAGACAGAAAAGACTTGAAATTAAAACACAGTCAACTGGATCTTGGAGTTCTTTAACAAAGGAAAAAAAAAACGCAAAACATTATTTCACATAACCCCTCTCCAGACCATTTTACTGTTTTGTTCTCTAGCAGCAGAGCTATCATTCTACCTTAAGAACACCATGAACATCTTTGCTGTGTCCCATTCCTCTGAAACTCAAGGGATACTCGTTTCAAGTCTTTTCCGAGTAGATCATTTCCCAGACTGCTAGGTCACTAGCATAACTGATAGAAATCTTACTAAAATATCAGTTCGGGTGATTGAGGTGTTTATGTCAACAAAGCAAGAGGCCCACTAATGACATCAAAACTGAACAGAGCAGCACTCTTTTTTGATCATTACACCGGACAGCTTGTCAAATCTTGATTCACAAAATAGAGACTTCCTCAAATTCAGCACAAACACAAAAGCTGGATCTCTAGCTTAAAAATGCTCATGAAATTCTACTGGAGATATTAACCGTGAGACGTGCCAGAAAGACATTTACTGACACAGCAACACGCTGTTAGTCTTCACGTGCAACTGCTTGGCACTTGAAGCGGTGCGAATTTTTCTTAGTTTTAAGAAAACCCAAGGAGCTCTTTGTAGCTGGGGTCCTACACCCAAATATTCTGCTCCTTTGTTCAATGCAGGCAAAAGTCAGTGTAGAAAGTCTCAATGATCACTGATCTCTCTGGATCACAGCACAGCAGTAACTTCCCCCATGCCTTGAGATTTGTAGGGCACAAACCAAGGTTATTTGTGCACAGCCCTTGAGCACCTCCAGTCTGCCACAGCTGCATACACTTAAGAGCTCCACAAGCACCCATGAACTGAAAGACACCTGGCTCCACAGAGCAGAGAACATTAGAGGTTCCTAGAAGTGTGCCTCTCTGGATTTTATAAAGACATTTAAAGTGGTTAATTTAAACACTTGTACTTTCTCCTTCTTCACTTAGCTTCATATTAGTTTCACATTAAACCTGATTCATGTTAAGACTTAACATCAAGCTTAGGGGGAGCATAATTTAAAAAAATGTAAACATAACTGGAAAGTTGTAAGTAAAAGCAAAGTGTTCAATGGAGCCACAGGATCCCACACTCACAGAAACTCAAGAGCAGCTGTAAATCATTTTAAAAAGTACATGGAAGACAGGTTGGTAAGAAAACTCTTCCTTCCTACACATAGGAACACATAGTTTTGGTATGCTAATGGCCCCCACTACTACTACGTGTACCCTGAGGAATACATTGAAATTACAAGTTTAGTGTCAAGACAGGCAGGAGGTAAACAAGTTCAAATATTGTGGTTTTTAGAGAGGTACACACTTAATGTTTTTGTAAAGGTCCTTAAATCATGACTCACATCAGGGATCCATGCAAGGGGCACAGAAAGAGAGAAGAAAGTACACCAGTCACTCTGGAAACTGTCACACACTTACATGAACCTTTTATTGGAAACAGACTTTAAATCAACAGTGTTGTTGGTAACTCTGATATTGCAAGTCCTATTGATAGCACCCTCTGAGGAGTCCACCTGACATCTCTTTTCATAAGAAGTTTAAGGTTATTAAAGCCTTTTCCCGCCCAAAGCCTTCAAACAGATTTAATAAAGATTATTACTCAATTCATTTTAATCCCACTATCTTTGGAAAAAACCCAAATATTTCATGGTGCTTTCTGTCTTGCTTTTATACAACTTATTATGGAATTTCATGTTCCAAGATTAAGACAAACTGGATGGAAATAATCTCTAGTTGCTTACAGGGCCTAAAGTACAAACATTCTTATTACCTAAACCCTAAATTAAATTGAACAGTTTCATGTCAGGTTATCTACATTAATTTCAATGCCATGATTTTGCAATATGAAAAGGATCTTTTATTAAATAATTTGTTGTACCTTGTACCCAGCAACACAGAAATAAAGTGAATCATACTGTTGCAGGGGGAAGGGGAAAAAAAAAAGTGCCTCATTTTAGATTCTATTTTATTGTGACTATTCAAGATCATCACAATAAATAAAAAAACCCCAATGTGATTACTATAATATTACATTTAAATGCAATAATTAAAGATTAATTATAAATCAAGGGTATGTAGATCAGTTAGAAGACTATGCTCATAGCTGGGCAGGGTTTGGGTAGAAATGCTATACAGTTTCAATTCATCTTCAAGCCTGAACTTTAAGCTTAACTTGTGGGAGAAACCACTATGTACACAGCTACTTCAAGTTAGTGAGCTAACTCCTTTGAAATTGTTTCAGAGACTATTAGCCTCATATCTTCTATTTGAGATCTTCTCTTTTCATGCAAAGCAGAAGAGAAGAATCTTACAAACTGGAATTCCAGCTGGAGCCTGACGGTACTTTAAAACACAGCAATCTGAGCCTAGGTTTTTTTAAACATGCTGAGTAATTCACTGGGACGCAGAGGGTTTAAGCACCACAAGGATAAATTGCATTCGCACTGTAGGATTTAAGTAATTTGCAAACAAGTAGAATAAAAGAAGACACTTGCTTTCCATAAAAAGGAACATCATGAGCTACTGACACAATTGCTTCCAGCTCAGGAACTTTTTTTAACTGGGCTAGGATGCTGTAATTCAAAAAGGCTGCAAAGGTCCCACGACTGGGTGTTTGAGCAGAGGGAGCCTCCAGCTTACCCGCACAAGTTCTCTTCCCATTTGATTTACCAAGAAGCCATGTCAGCAAAGGTGGTTTGAAGCATACCTCTGTCTTCCCCCTGAGGAATCCTGGGTGGATGAAGTGAGCTGGCTTGGCGCTGCTGAGCCGGCACATGAGTTGCAGGAAGATACAAGTATCTTATTTGGAGGACACATAGTAGAAACTATGCCTAGAGCTCACTCATTCAGTGCTCACTGAATTTCTTCACCTACTAGTGCTCACTCAAAAAGTGCTACTAAAGGGCTCCAGACCTGCTCTGGGTTTGTGGCAGTTTGATAGGACACTGACTCCTGAGAATGTAGAGCAGCTGCTTAAGACCAGGAGTCTCACCAGTTGAGTGAGGCAGCAATACAAAGGTAACTTGCTCAGCTATACTGCAGGGATACAAATGATACAGCCACACAAAACTTACGAACAATCAAAATCTATATGAATTCAAAAATTTACTTCCAAACAAGCTATTTTTTACCATCATATATTTGCTGGGATTTATATAAAGCGTTTTTGAAAATGCTGGCACTTACCCAAATCTGCAGTTTCACCCGCTTGTCATTCCTATAAACTGTTTTCACTTTGAAGTCAATTCCTACTGTGCTAACGAAGGCTGGTGTGAAAGTGTCATCAGCATATCTGAAGAGGAAGGATGTTTTGCCCACGCTGCTGTTGCCAATGATCAGGAGTTTGAACATGTAATCAAAATTTTGATCTGAAGTATCTTTCTGCCTGTATCTGGCATCTGTTACTGAAGCCATCTAAGAAAATGACAAACATTGAAAAAGAACAGATTTAAGAGCAGTTCAGCATTTGTTTTCCTTAACTGTGTACCATATGTTTAGCTTATCTCTTTTCTTTCTAATATTATAACCACTATAACTGCTGAATAAAGAGGAACACACCGTGAAATCTTCTTTTAAATCCTGGCTTTAAATTTCTATTATCTACTTGTAGTGGTAAGATTTCCAAACCCAAGAAATACACCTGTTGCACTGCTTTGTGTTTAAAAGAATAACAGATGGCTATTGCAGATTGTTCAAATACTAGTGGGACAACAGCATTCTTTACTGCTGTGGCAGGGTGCCACTTCTGTTGCTCCAATAAACTGGAGTACTGCAACCAGGAACTAAAATCTTTTGACAGTGCATCCAACTATGCAATTCATTAAGCAGCCTCCAAGGCAGGTAAACCTAAATAATTCCTTTTATGACTAGTAGGGAAAATCTGCATTTCTAGCACATGCATCACCACCATTTTATCCTTAGAAAAGTTCTATCCTCAACATTTACAGAAGGGAAAAGAAAAGATCAACAGGAGAAGATGAAACACCAGGAATTTCAGCTGAAAACTTTGAATCCATCCAACACCTATCTACTCTCAAGACTGCAACTAAAATAAACAGCACCTGCATAAAACATGAGGGCTCAGTGGGGCTGCAGGCAGCATTTGGAATGAATAACATCACTTTTTATCACAGGGACATGAGAATTGGGGAAGTTAGTGGGGTGGGGAGGGGGGAAGATGCAGCCTCAGAGATCCCTCCTTCTCTTGTGACCCTGAACTGGATTCAGAAACCAAAAAACAACAGCAGAATCTGAAATATCAAGGCGGGTGGAACTCACTGAGCAGCCCTGGCAGCTCAGACACTCCGTGGGAGAAGGCAAGGCCCTGACTTTTCATCTCTGTTTGTACAGAGCGGAAGACAACTACACAGGCCAAATTACTACAGAGAGGAGCAAAAGGAAACTTTACCTTTTACCAGATATACCACACTTTTAATCTCTAATGCTATTTCAAAATCTACCCCACGACAAACAAGCAAAGGTTTCAGCTTCTTATAACCAGTCAGGGGGTTGTGCAAACTGGGGCAATGACAGCACAGGTCTGATTAGCAGCTAACTCATCTGAACTAGGACATGTGCTACTTGTGTGCAGTGTCAGAAAGCACTGAGTAGAGACCGAAGTCTCTTCTTCCCCCAGCATCCAAAGAAATAAGTTAATTTTCCCCTCAACTCAGATTTGTGGGAATCTTCGGGAACAAAACTGCCACCAGTGTCTACTCTCACCATGTTCCCAAATACTTGCCTTCTTAGCAAGTCTCACCTGCACACAGGACTTCACTCATTCACTCACTGAAAACAAAACGATAAAAAACAAACAGTTCAAAACTCACCGTTGTTAAACAGCTATAAACCAAAATGCTGTCCACAGGCAATTTAAATTGGGATGACAATTTAACCTAAATTCCCAACAGAGGGGAAACAAACCAAAACCAACCCAGTTTAAACTTCAGTAAAATATGCATGACCGTTTATCTCCGACTAAACACATGCGACTTTCTCACATAGAAAAGGGCTGGTGCAGCAGACATTTTGTTCACAGATTGCATTAACAAGGGACAGTTTCTGAAGAACTTTATCTGTCACTCAACAGTCAACAGCTGCACTGAATGCAGAAAAATCTTCCCACAAGTGATCCTCTGTAGGATACAACACAATTCTGACACACACTCTTCAGAACTTCAGCTGCTATTCGTAAGACTACAGTCCTTTGCAAGCACTCCAGAAAACCCAAGTACAAATTTTCTTCTCACCAGTGTATCAGAAAAGGGCTCTTCTACTCATGCCTTGCGGTTCTTAACAGGAATTTCTAAAACGAAGAATTCAACATCCAACTGACTTACACACACACACACTCAGGCCAACGCACTCACTGCCTCAGTTCAAGCGTTAGAAATCTCAGCTGCAAAAAATTATGAATCCAGATGATTAGTTGATTTGTACCATCACCAAGCTGGAAGACAGTAAGAAGTTCTCTGAGTAATTTATCTTCCTCATACACATTCGTAACTTCCACAAATGCCCCTGAGAACACATGTGCACTTACTAAAGGAGAAAAAAAAAACCCAAAACTCTACTTCCCCATGCCACTCACAGAGACTTGAAAAAAGTGAGATGCCCTCATCACTTGAAGCCTACTCATTTAAAGATTCAGAGGCAGACCTTTAACAAAGAAATATTCCACTAATCATACAGGAATCAATATCTTCTTTCTACCCCTGCCTTTGCAGAATCCATCCGCACGCTCCAAGCTGATCTTTTAAATGAAACATCACTGCTTCTATTAACCCCCCTAGATTGCTATAATCAAAAGTGTACCTGGCTACAAATGCGACTTTCTCAGTTAAAAAAGCAATTACAGAATGCGGCCAGCTAGAGCAGCTTTGTTAGAAGCACAATGCAGAAAATAAGATCAAATGATACTTGCACAGAACATGGGGCTGTTGTCATAGAAGCACAACACTCGCTGGCCCGCACGTGCCACTGTGCTACACTGAAGATGCTGCAGGCCGGCTCCTTGAATCATTAGAGGCGGCACTGAAGCACAAAAATTTCAAAGAAAATTCCATCCCCTTGCTTAAATTTGACTTTTCTCTTTCCCCTCCTCTGGTCAATAGACTGAAACTGAAAGGACTTTAGTACTAATTACTGATTACTCCTCTGATTGCAGACCATTACTGAAGCTGTACTCTGAAACCGTTCACAGGGCTGTCCCTGAATTTGTGCTTGAATCCTGAAGCCTGGAACCAGCAGACCTTTCTCCCAGTTCTCCGCCCTTGAATTCCTCTTCCCCATTTGTCTCACCCCTGCTCCAAGTGCTCCCTAGTTATGCCAGTCCTGAGGACCGCGCAGAGAGCTGGTTTAGAGAACAGAGAGATCCCAGTTAAAAATAAATCCTCCTACAACTTCTCCTGTTTTGGAGGGCTGTTTTTAAAGTTGGTTCAGTTCCTGATCCAGCACAGCTGAGGGAGCCAAGCGGAGGGGACCAAGCGGTAGGAAGCGGTGGCAGTTGCTATGCTACTGAGGGAAAGGTCCACAAAATAGCATCTCTTGCAGGCCCTCCCCACCTGGCGGAGATTCAGGATCAGCAGCGGAGGGAAAAGGTGACGATGCGCCCGTGTCAGGCAGCTCCTGTCCAACTTGTCAGAACAGCTCACACAGCCATCGCTCCCAGAGGATCTTATTCCCTCCTTGGTGAAAGGACGTTTAGTTGGCGGTGTAACCCCCTGCTCCCTGGGCACACAACTACACACGCTCTTTGCTTAGGATGACTCCAAATACAGCAGCATCTCTGCTGTTTTACAAGCACATGCAGACTAACCAGGGTTTTGTTACAGAAGACCAAGTCAAATATGACTGGCATGCAGAGCACAAAAGAGAGGCTCATGACTGTTTCCATTTTGACTGCCTTGGAATAATCCTCAAGAAAATATCTATACGGGAAAGATTTAGCTACATTACAGAAAACATATTACACAAGAAAAGAAAAAGCTGCCAATCAGATCATCCTTGAGAACACTTCAGTACAAGACCTTGCATCTTTTAGTTCTTTGCCTAGGTATCCCACTTCTTTGTAGCTAAGAGTATACTAATATTGACAACCTGTTTTCCCCACATGCGTTAGCAATGGGAACAAGGTCTCAAACACATCCGCTTCCAGCTAGTTTTGCGAGAATAGGCAGTTATGTAGCTATGAGATACCTTATTATTTCCCTGTTGAGGAAAAAGCCTGCAGCGTGAGCTCACCTTTTATTACACAGAGAAACCACATAGGAGGAGGATGCTACAAATGCTCTAAAGCAATAAAGTCTTAATCAGAGCTTATTAGCCACCTAAGAATACGTACCTCAGTCAAGGTGTCTCTCTTGCCTTTATTTTCTATTTTGGTCTAATGAAGTTTAAAAAAAAGAAGTCTATCACCATAAGACACCTCCATGGGAAACCAGACTTCACTGCTTTCAGTACTCACTGAAATGTGTCATATAGATGGCACCACACAGCTGTGCTCTTTAATTTGTGACCAGCATCACGGTGAAGAATCAAACTGTTCCGTAGCGCAACATGAATCATCAAAGTGTTAACTGGTCTTACCAATCACTAAAAGTGGTCACTGCTGACCCAGTTCTGCAGTATTTACTGCCTACGGCCAACTTCAGTGAAAAGCAGTACGTGAACTGTCTAAAGCTGATGGTGTTGGCTAGAAATTAACTGGTATATCTTGCCATCCATTTATTTCCAGAAAATAACTAATGTTCAATTCAAGTGTTTCCAGACTTTATCATTTTGGCTACAAACTAATGGAGGGCTGTTCTTTGTTCACTCACAGACAAGAAACAAGAAATCTGATCATTAACTTGGAAGTTTAGGCATCTCTATATTAGCAACCACATTGGTCTGTTCACAGACATGGACGTTTCCACATTCCACTCTCTCTCACAACATTGCAAGGAAAAAGTTTGAATTGCCTTTGGAAAAGGGTCTCCTTGTCTGCTATCAGTCACCTCAGTTAACCATGAAACGTGGTCACACTGATGGAACTTACACTTCAAACTACACACAAAGGCATATCTGCGATTTCAACTTGTTATGAACCTGTGTATTCTGTATACTACAAGTTCTGTGCATTTCTAACAGTAAAAACATCTTTTAATATTTGTCACTGCTTTATTTTTAAAGCCAAAACTGAAATTTACTACTTATGTTTTGTGTTATATAGGACAAGTAACAATTTAAATGTGACCGTTTAACTGTTTCATCATCATCCGCTAGCACACACACGTTTCTTTTATTAGGCAGATGAGAAGATGGGGGTCAAAACACGCCTCTATATTTCTGAGTCAGAGATCTTATGACAGCATGCTACTCCAGGCCGGGTCCAGCCTCATTTTGGGTGTGTTCAGCAACTAAGCCTCTGCTGT